ATCTTTATATTAAGGTTATCTCGACATTTCTAAAAATACACCAAATTCCATCTCCTAACGTTTTGACCTTTGGTTAATTTTTCTGTTTTTTGTTTAAGGTCCATGGGCATTCTACTTCCTCCTGTGTCGCAAGTGACCAGCTGCCATTCCATCCTGAGTTCGACGAATTCGACATATTCGCCGGTAAATAATTCGACACTGGGCTATGTGGCACCTGTACATCCACCAGGACACTCTTTAAGTATATACACAGGTAATAAGTCAAAGACATCACCAAATTATCGATATCAGGAGATAAACGGCCACATTGTTAAATTTTTAACGAAAGAAGATAAATTTTAGAAAAATAGCAGAAAATATTTCTACAGACTAATTAGCTGTGAATTGTACTGAACATAGTTCAATTTTTGTTTTGTTTGTTCGGTATATGATATTTGTTGTGATTTAGTTGGTTTTTACTACCCCAGGTGCAAATTATGCAAACTCATCAGGCCTGGTACATCACCAGCAACATCACCAACGAAATCGAAGTTTAGATTCGGTTCTGCAAAGGATACCAGAAGTTGACATTACGCCAAGTCCGACGGAACCACCACCTGCTGATCACACGCCCATTCACGGTAAGATAATAGAATCACCAGAGTTGATTTTTTTTTTATTAACTTCCCGAAGGAGAAGTTTATGTTTTCATCAAAAAATCCGATTCGCTAATTTTATGTTTTCTCGACGTTTCAAGCCGTTCTGAATCGAATGAGACCAACATTTGGAAAAAGTATGTGTGTGCATGAACAGATGTTTTGCCGTAAACCGAGTTGTTTTATAAAAGACGGCTAGAACGATTTCAAAAATTTAAAAGCCATTCGATGTATTTCGATGAGGACTAGAGTTTATCAATTTTGATCGACGATCAGCCAAGCCGTTTCTTTGTAAATCGCAGAAAAGTGAAAATAATTTTGTCCACGTTTTAGCCCGCAATTCTGAATCGATTGTGAAAATTCAAAAACCGTTCGAAAGATATTGGTTGGTAATGCGTGCTGATTAGTTTTTGGTAGAGATTGGCCGGGCCGTTTTCTTGTAATAAAGTGTTAAAAAAAATTCCACGATTTTTATTATTTTTTTGACCGTAGATACCATAGTCTTTTAGATCCTACTAAAATATTACGGTCCTACGACAACTCGTTTAGCTTTAAAAATTCGTCAAAGTTTGCAAAAATTGGTATCGATTTTTTGGCATTTGCCAAAGTTAAAACTTTCATCGACCTTTTCTCAAAAACGCCTGAAACGATTTCAGAAATTTAAAAGTCATTTGATGTATCTCGATGACTACTATCGTTCGTCAGTTTTGTTTGACGATCTGACAAGCCGTTTCTTTGTCATTTGAAAGAAGTGTTAGACTTTTCGTCCACATTTAAGCTCATCCTACCGAATCGATTTTAAAAAATCAAAAACTGTTTGAAAGATATTAGTGGGGAATGATTCTGATTAGTTTTAGGTGAAAATCTACCGAGCCGTTTTCTTGTAATTAACTGTTGAAAAAAAATTTAGGCCGATTTTTATGGAACTTTTTTGGGCGATATATATCATGGTCTTATAGAACTTACTGAAATATTACAGTCTTACGACAAGTAGTTTAATTTTAAAAATTCTTCAAAGTTTGAGAAAATGAGTAGTTTTTTTGACGTCTGTTGATATTAAGATTAGACGATTTATTTGGTATAACGATAGAGTACTTGGTCTTGATGAACATACTGAACCATCAAAGTTCTACGGAAACTGGTTCAATTATAAAAATTGTTTATTTTTGAAAATTTGCTCTTAGAAAATATTCCGAGTTAACGTGTTCGCTCGTTTTCATACTTCAATCACTTATAAATTAATTTATTTTTTATTGATCGAGTCGATTATTTACACATATCGGGAGGAAGTTCATGTAAATTGCCTCAAGGCAAAATACCAATACCAATTAGTTTTTATTTGATTTTTAGGATATGGTAAGGGTAGGATATGGATGTTAGATAATAGAATCACCAAAGTTGATTTTTTTATTAGATTTTTCGGATATGGAAAGGCTAGCATATGGATGTTTCGATTTGATTTAATTGGCAATATATTTTATTTCAGTTGGACATCCTTGAGTGTGCATCATCTGAAACTGAAAGCTCATCAAAGTCAAGCACAATCAGAAACGTGCGTCCAGTCCATGACAATTAAGAATAAACCTTTATCCAGCATCATATCGTCAGCAAATCAGAGCAAAAACCAGAGGAACGAGAGAGATGAACTCACCAGTCTGGGATCTGACGATTCTGGTAAGGAAATATAAAATCCATTAAGGGGGTATTCTAGTATAGAAATTAAAAAAAAATCGATTTTTTTTATTTCATATTTCAAAGTTCAACTATCTAAGAATATGGGTACGAGAAGGTTTTTGAAAATTTGGGTTATTTTTGGAGATATAGGCATTTCACTGGCCCGATCTCCAAACTGGTTTAATTGGACCAAAGGCATTAGGAAGTCATTAGATCAATTTAGGATAGTTTATCGTCAGATGAATTATTAATTCGATGTATAGGTTCAGAAACTCATTATTGTTCACGTACAATTTTGTCTACTCGTGTTAACTCCATATATGCTTAGGTTAATTTCAAAAATTCATAACGGTTGTACTATGCATAATTAAGAACTGTAATTTTAGTATGTTTTACTATAAAGTATATACTATGAGTGTACATTTATACAATTTTATATTTTCGAACAAATTAGTAAAGTTTTTAGACATGTAACAGCATTTTGTTACGTACAACTTTGAGAACAATAATGAATCTTTAAACTCGTTGATTTGGATTTTCGCGCCGAAACACATTCATTCCCGATCTCGGGTAATTGAAATAGCAATATTTTGTTGCTGTTTGCATATTCAATGAAGGTTTCTTTTCGATTTTAAAAATGATGACTCTTATGGTAATGCAAATTGGGCCAAAAACTCATTCATTTGCTGTAAGATAAGACAACGCTTCAAAGGAGGTTAGAACTGCTCCATTGGAAGAGAGAAATGCAGAAAATATTTTTTTTTGAAGTAGAAGAAGGTCCGTTGCATAAAGCAGGAATGACAAATTAAATAAAAAAAAGTATAACATATTATTTTTTTACTTTGAGAGCAAAAAACTTCACGCAAAACTTTAAATGCGTTTTTCTCAGAACTGACTTTTTCAGTACTGTTGACACGATTTCTCGAGTTCTACTCGACCGATTCACTGGAAATGTTCAAAGAGTCTTGTTTATAGACCTATCTGTAGCCCGAACTAGAATCATCCCCAAATTCAGTAAAAAAAACTCAGTGAAACTCAAAAAAAAAAAATATTAAAAAAGACACTTTTTTTCAAACAGTCGTCAATTTCCGATGGCTAGGAGGGCTGAAATCATGCCAAGACTGAGGTGCCAATTTTTTGAGACCACCCATTTCATCAGCTGCCAATTTCTTCAATTTTCACCTTTTTTGTTTTAAATTTTGTTTTGTATTTTAATAATATTAATAAACAAGTGTTTTATTTATTAATAAAAAAATGGATAGTAAAAACATTCATTGCTTTCTTTTACGACACTTTAAAAATGATCTAAAATTCATTGCTCTACACTAGATTACCCCCTTAAATCGACAAGAATTCTTTGTCGTTAACCAATTTGTATTTTCTAGGTATAATGTGTGGTTCAGAGAGCGGCGACAGCCTCCGCCTGATCAAAACCCACCATTTAGACCTGAACCTAGTAAACCAGCCCAGGAGCAGGACGGAAAGCCTAGAAGACGACTCCGATCTGGATCTAAACCTAGATGCAAACTCAGACGATCTGGTCAACCTGGAAGAAAACGGAGTATCACCTACCTGCAATCAAGATGACATTGTCACAAGTGAAACAAATGAACTTTTACCAGACCAAAGTGAACATTCGAACAATGTTGAATCGGTGCAGGTGGTTAATTTAGTGCCCAGGATAAGTTTAGAGGATAGGTCGAGTGAAATGGTGGTGGACGGTTTGTGCCAGAAACTTAATGGAAAGTGTTTTGTTACGGACTCAAATGCTGAGAGTTGTAGTGGTAAGGATGAAGAGACTGGTGTTAAGATTGAGAAAGTCGATGGTGGTGAAGAAGGAGTTGTGGAGATTATTAGCAAACAGGAACCGCCTTCCGGGCAGGATTTAAGGTAGAAATAAAGATAAGTAGTAAATAATAAATAGAAGTCTGTCCGAAGGCAGGTTCATGGTATGGGAGCATCGATCAATTATTTCCTCAAGCAAATTGTAATAGATGCAAGTAGTATAAACATATAGGCATGTATATAATTCAGCCTTCAGAATGATTTTTTACTAAGGTATATTAATTTTTATGCACAACTAGATGACCGACAGACGTTGTGCTGTACCCATGTCTACAATTTTTTAATATAACATACTAATATTTACCGTTTACCTAAAAATAAGAAATTATTATTTTTAAATTACTCTTCACGCCTAAATGCATATACATTTATAATACGAGCAGTGTTAAATGTAGAACTGCTTTAAATAAAATGATGAGTCTCGATACCCACACTATATTCGGAATTGAAGTCTTTTAAACGGTATACATAACATCATAACCATAACATAACACTGGTACTTCATGTTAGATTAATTAATTTATTTCATATTATTTAGATATCCAGAATTGCATTTTAAACTTCTCCTAATCGATATCGTGAGGGCCGAATTGAATGCATTCATCTCTACTTTCCCATTTGTTGTTATAAAGTGAAATTTTTACAAATTTTAAAAATATTGTGTAATTATTAGTAAAAGATGCAAAGAAATTATATATTGAAAAAAAAAATATATTGAAAATTAATATCCGAATCTTGTGTTGGCGCCCCCTAAGGCGTGCGCTCGTATTTTTCCCATGCATGCATTGAAGGTAGGACCGGCCCTGATTAATACTTAATTTCATATTTTAAGTGAATTAATTTATCATATTCTGTTCATATGTGTATCATTCAATCTGCCATACATATATTGTATTTTATATTATTTTAATTTCTGGCACATCTCAGCTGCTTTTTTGGCAATAATAATTTAAACATTTCATTTTTCTTATTCATAATCATTAATTTATTATACATATTCTAATATTGTCGAGGTTCATAAGTAAATTGAAATTTTTGGCAGATGATAGTTTTCATTTGTTTTCAATGCAAACAATGACATGTCGTTTTTTGTATTTTATATACATCCTAGAAAATTTCCTTAACAAACTTCAGAAAGATTTATCAAAATCCGCATAATCGTTTAGAAGAAGTATATAGTGAGTGCATGTAATTTAATATGAACTTTATATAATAGCAATAAAGCTCAAATTGATTCTACGTTTTAGTTAGAAAACGTTTGTATGAGAAAAAGAAAATGGATGTTTTTAGGGTTTTCTCGGCAATTACTCGATTTTTTCTCGCCGTAAGAACCATCCTTGGACTTCAACGAAAATTTAAAAAAAGAATTAGCCAAATTGGTGCAGGCGTTAATGAGTTATGCACTTACCAACACATTTTGCGATTCATTTTTATATATGATTACAAAGACCTATATTTCCAAGTGATTACCGGTGACGCTGCTGCTTGACATCAGGCTGTCCATGGCGTGTATCTAACCTTTATTACGAAGTCCATATCTTTAACCACTAGGCCGAGAAGAAGTCTTAGCAAAATACTTAAACATATTTTACGCTTCATTTAATAATCGGTTATTGCAAATAAGAAAATGCAAAAATATTAAATATTTATAAATATTATGCCGTTATCTCGACGATTAGTAATATCGGTTGATTGATTATAATTAATTAAAATAAATATTATTATGCAATGCGATTAGAATTTTTGTTTACGTAATTCAAACAATTACGACTCGAGTAAAAATTAATGATAACGTTCGTCGTCGACAATTGATGGTAATATATAAAAGAATTCTTTATTGAATTTCAAGGAGTTTAAGTTCATTTCAGCAATTATTGATTGTTTCGATTGATTAAATTAAGACGATCATTGTTACAAATTCGTATTGATAATTTAAAATTGTACTAGTGGTGTATGGCATCGTGCCTTAAGGCAAATTGCTGTAACTTTCCACACCGTAATGAAATATTTGAGAAATTTTAAACGTTTTCAAATATATTATTACAAATTCTCTGTAACTTTCATTATTTCTGCTATCTTGTTATATCTGTGCAAATCAAATGTAAATCATGAACCAATTTATCTCTAGAACATTATTTAATCGTCATGTCATTTCAAATTCAAATAGTTGCCCAAAATAGTTACACAAAATTGAAAAAGTACCCCGTATAGTCACATTTTTCAAATAATTCTGTGCGACATTTTCACATTTTTAATAGTTTTCACAAAATTGGAAAAGTGGGTAAACATTTGTGCCATAGTGGCGCTTAGACTGTGCTTAGTCTGGGCAATTTTTTGAATTTTCCAATCCAAAATTACAAAAATATTTTATGGAAAATAAAAAAGATGTAAGAATTTTTTATCCTCGAAAGCAATTGTTTTGTCAATACTAGCAGAAAGTTTTTTAGATCATTTAAATCGGACGCTTAGTTCATTCAAAATCTGCCATTTTTGCACATTTAGCTCTGTATCTTCGAAATGGCGGGACCTGTCTTTGCCAAAAACTAATAACCTCTTCTCCCAATCATTACAAATTGAATGTTTTTTAGATCATTCAAATCCGATACTCCGTTCTCTCAAAAACTCGATTTGTATTTTCTGCACTCTTTGCTCCGTATCTCCGTAACGGCTGGACCTGCCTTTGCCAAAAACTAATCAGCACATATCCCTATCAATGAGAATCGAATGTTTTTGAACCATTTGAAAGAGTTGATCCGTGCGTCCGAAAACGTGGACGAAAATATGCGGACATACAAAACACATCCATTTTTTCTGAAGTATGCCAAAATGTTAATGAACCTTCAAAACGTCGAAAAATGCAAAGATTTTCATTTCCGATTTTCGGTCTATTACTATAACTACCATTAATAAAAAAATATAAAGCTTAAATAAATCAATCAGTTTTGTAACAGTACATCTAATTTGGATAGATCTCGATTTGGTTTCTCATTTGAATATAAATTACAACATAATTACAACACCTTCAGTCGCCAAAAAAAAGCTTGGTGATGACATCATGCTTCATACGAAAGTTGGCAAGGTGTAGGTGGATGAGAAGCCATCGACATCAACAACAAATATGTATGCAATTATTTCCATTACCATTTTAGGATTTCACCTTGCGCCTGCTGGAGTCCAAACTCTTCGACATGTCCTTCGCCATTCACTATTTGTTCAAATCGAAGGAACCAGGAGTCCAGATGTACATCGGCAACAAGATCTTCTCCTTCAAGGACCAGGATGTCGACTTTTATATTCCTCAAATGGTCAGCATGTACGTCCAGATGGCCGATGTGGCGGAGGCTATTCATCCTTACTTGGTGCACAGGTAAAAAATATAATTATATAACTAAGTAATGTAATATTTATAATATAACTAGCAAACCCGACGAACTCCGTTTCGCCACCAGATGGTTTCGTGAGAAAGATGAAGAAATTTTTTGTTTGTTTTATATTTGAAAAGGAAAAATTTGATTTTATTGCACAACAGTAATGAATTTATTTCGATTACAAAAATCGAAGTGTTTTTTAGTTGAACTTCTCCAAGTAAATGAAAGTGAATCCGCAAATTATACGTTTCATTGAAGTGCTCTTTGGTAAACCACATTTTTTGTTTTTTGGTCTGACGTTAACACAAACAAAGCGGATGGTTTTCTATATATATATATATATATATATATATATATATATATATATATATATATATATATATATATTGTAAGTAATATATTAACATATTAACTACTTCAATTTATTTATGTTTTAGGTGCAGACAGAGTGTTGATTTTTCTTTAAAATGTGCTTGGTTACTCGAGGCTTACAGTTCTGATGCTGAATTGTCGACGAAGAAGAAGTCACATGGAACCAAGCTACGGAATCACATATTAAATGATGAGTTTAGGTAAATAAACGGTGTATTGTACTACTCGTACAGTTCCAAATATGTCTTGAAATTGTTTCTTCCTTGAAGTGAAAATAGATATATCAACCAGTATCGTTTTTTTAACAGGCCAAGAGATTCAGAAAACCAGCGCAAAAAATCATCACAAGGCGGTGTAAGTCAAAACGAGAACTCTCTTGCCGTTAATCAGACAGTGACCAACAGATTTCTATCCCCGATCAAAAAGACCCATCAGAGATCACAATCGGATGCCACTGGACTTTACCAAGGTAAAATAAAGGGTATACAGCAATAAAAACAAGGCACTGACAGTGTAGAGTCTATGGTGAAAATTGTTTGTTTTAGGTTTAAGAAGACTGATTAAAGCTCCATTTAGTCCTAAATTGACACTAGGCGATTTGGACAGTGGACGTGCCTTCGATAATGGTTGTACCTGCTTCGATTCTCGAACAGGAGCCGTCAATGAACTGAGAGGACGGAGAACTTACTGCTCTTGTGGGGTAAGATTAATTTGGTAACTGAACAACCGACCAAGATCGATTTCTAAACCAACAATTTCCTTCCAGGCTCCGAGGTTAGCTCCACAAATGGAATTCATCCAAAGTCTGCTGACCATCGGTCGATTATTAGCTACAGTACCTTCCAAAGAGACAAGGACTGCTCGCCTGCAAGCACAACTTGGTAAATTGAACTTGAATTTACCGGCAAGGGTTTGGCTACCTATACATTCAAGGTACGATGGCAAAGATTGTAGTCAATTTATGTGTAGAGTTGTAAAACTGATTGTGTTGTTTGTAGAACACCACATCACGTTGTCAGGATTCCACCACAGGCTAGTGCTTGTCTGAATAGCAAGGACAAGGCGCCTTATATTATATATGTTGAGGTTTTGGAGGTGGAAGACTTCTACGCATGCCCTGTTCCTGCCAAAGTCATGGGCACTAATTTGAGGCATACCAAGAGCGAAGAGCACCTGTTAATAAACGCTGCTAACACCAGTAATTCAACAAATACGAATTCTGCTGAAAATGGTGATGCTTCCAATAATGTTATGCTAGAGGAACCACTTTGTGATGCGATTGTTGATGCTGATAATTGCTGGTCGCAAGAGGACGATGAAATATCACAACAGGTATTAAAATATTTATATTTATATTTATATTTATATTTACGGATACAGGAATAGATTTAATAATTACAGAAAATAAATTATCTTAATTGAATTAATTACAATAAAATACAACTATTAAACAATATTAAGCCTAACATTAGTAATATCTAATACAATAACTTGAAGAAAAAAAAAAGTAATAAAATTCAAATAGTATAATTGTTGTAGATCTTGAGAGTCTTCTTATGATAAAAAAAATCCTTTAACTATCCGTTATGCGATTTTTATTTGAGTCACATATCTGGAAAGTAAAAATCAAAAAAAGAGCAGTATCAAAAAAGAATATATAATATGAAAATAATTGTAATGATAAAATAGTTAAAGTAGAAAAATGTTAAAATAATCTTATATATAAAAATCGATCGCAAAATATGTTGGTAAGCGCAAAACTCAACAACGCCTGGACCAATTTGGCCAATTCTTTTTTTTAAAATGTTTGTTAAAGTCCAAGGATGGTTCTTACGGCGAGAAAAAATCGAATAATTGCCGGAAAAATCCTAAAAACAGCCCTTATCTTTTTCTCATACAAACGTTTTCTAACTAAAACGTAGAATCAATTTGAGCTTTATTGCTATTATATAAAGTTCATTTTAAATTACAAGCACTCACTGTATACTCCTTCTAAATGATTATTTGGATTTTGATAAATCTTTCTGAAGTTTGTTAAGGAAAGTTTCTAGGATGTATGTGATTTATAAAGTACTGGGATGTATGTGCAATATTGTAGAAATAAATGGAAAAAATGCAAAAAACTACTGAATTTTCTCAATTTGATTTCAATAACTATTTTCTTGCATAATCCTTATCATTTATCTATGTAGTCTGATCATTTGATCGTCTGCACAACCATGTTTTTTGATTGCTACTTTATTAATTTAAATTTTTACGGTTTTAAGGGGTCGGCCTGTTTTTAGGGATATTTTAGGATTTTTTTTCTACGACCAGTAAATATTTAGGGCTTCAAGTTTTTTATCATTTATTAACACATATTTGGACAGTATAAATATAAAATTTCAGCTAAAAATATTCAGTCAAACTAGAGTTACAGCGCTCTGAACACCCCCGCCTCGAAAAAAAGAGCTCCCACTTCCTCCACGATTCCGGCTGATCGGCTTATCAGAAAAAAAAAAATAAACGGCGTTTTAATTTGTAGGCTTAGACCTATAATCAAATGAATATAAAAAAAATTGAATTTTTGATAGACATTTGAAATAAAAGTTGCAAATTAGGCGTTTTTTTTTGTTTTTTGCTATAAAAAAAATCGAAGTTTTATCGATTGATAATAGATTCATTCCATGCGTTTAAACATATTGAGTGTGCCCTGTAAATTTAAAGTAATTCGGTCCGTTTCTGAGATACAATGAAGGAAAGTTTGAAAAACACAGTTTTGAGAAAAACGCGTTTAAAGTTTCAAGTCCGTTAAAAACTATCAAAATATCAACTTTTTTACCTGCTGTATCTTTAAAACGACTTCGAATTTTCTAAAATCGCTTTACTACCGTATTCTAGACATGTTAAGGGAGCAATTTATGAAAAAAAAAACGATTTTTTCAACCCATCACATAGGAAGACCCCCTTGAATGAGTATAACTTCAACCTTGTGCAAGAATTTTGAGCTTGACTCGTGGTCAAATAGACTTTAATATGATGAACTTGATAATGAACATTGTATTTAATGTTCGAATTGCTTTTTTTCAGCTCTTTTTTTCAGAAGCGAAATTTGTGCATCTACTATGATTATTATAAAATAACTATCCTTTTAATATTAATTATGAATAAGTTTGACAAGAGCCTGAAATAATATCTATTATTATTGATTACAGCTTGCTTATGAATAAATAAAATATTTTTACCATCTGTTTTTTTTATTAGTATCTACAACTCCGGACGACTTCACGTAACAATTTGGAGCGCGACACGATATCCCAGTTATCACAATTGTCTCAGGATTCATCAGAGACTACGAATAGCCAATGTGCTTACAATGGTGTTACGAATTCTGGTGCAAATGGTGGAAGCAATCAGGCTGGTGGAACTCAGCAAACTAGTCATAATTTTAATCCTGGCGACATCAGGAGAAGGTTGTCTGAATGTCTGAACGGCAGCGATAGGGAGAAGAACTTCAAACACGATCCTGAAGATCCTTCAGCTGCTGCATTAAAGGTAAGGAAAAGATGGAAGACAAATTATGCAGAATTGTTATATGTACTTAGGGAATGCAATACCGATGGAAAATTTCAATACCGGTATTTCGGTATTTTTTTATTTTAAAACCGGAATACCGGTAAATTACCGGTATTTTCATTATCTTAAACAAACATAAACAAAGTTGAAAGTTACTACTACAAATATGAAAAAATGTATGTACAACTACAACTATATTCAACTCAACAATAAAATAAAACAATAAGTTTATTTTTTTAAATAATAATTTAACAAAAGTATATGCAATTTAATTAATTCATATCACTATCGAGTATATTGAGTACTTTTCACCAAAAACAAACATATAAGTAAGAAAGACCAAAAACAAACTTATGAGTAAGAAAGACCAAAAACTCATAAAAGATCATATTACATTAATATAATAAACTGTATTATCTGTATCCGATGTGTTAAATTAGCATAATCCCCAATATTTTAAAAAAATAATTTTTCTACACTAATTTAAGATCGTATTCTTTGTCGAGATAAATAATAAGTTACTATAATTGTTGAGTATTGTTATTTAAAACAATGTGATGCTTCTATAATATTTTCAAACTTCGAAACGTTTTCGAAAAATAATATTTTATAATTGTAATAAGAAGCAAAAATATTTAGTAATTATCATAATTATTATGTATAAAGTTAGAAAAAAAATTAAAGATTACGCAGGGGTGATCTGTATGATATAAAATATTTTGGCGCAAATATCACTTAAAAAAACGTTACATTTTTACAAAAGATGAAACAAACATCATTATCTATCAGTCCAATTCTATGTATTGTAACACGATAAAAAGCCCTTTGGAAAGCAATAAATATTCAGTTTAATGACGAGTTGAGATAATATTTGACATTTGTTTATCTTATAGAATTACTTGAAGATATAGCTGTTTATGCGATTATGGAATTTAAAGATAAATTTGTTCCGAGAAATTTAAACCTTATGGGTATTATGTATCAAATAGCGCTTATGTAAAAATACCGAAAATACCGGTATTTTTGGAATAAATACCGGTAAAAATACCGCCGAAAAATCGGGGGGTTTACCGGTAATTCGGTATACCGGTATTGCATTTCCTAGTTATACTCAATTTGTATTTATCCAGGAACCTTGGGAGGATAAACAAAGAAGAGTCAGGGCTGATTCCCCGTACGGTCATTTATCAAATTGGAGGCTCTTGTCTGTGATTGTCAAATGTGGAGATGATCTGCGTCAAGAATTGATGGCTGAGCAGTTGTTAAGAATGTTGCAACAGATTTGGCAGCAGGAACGTGTACCACTTTGGTTAAGACCTTACCAGTAAGTGACAAGAGAGTAAAATAAATTGCGTTGGTTCAGGATTTATGGAATAACTAATTATGTTTGTTCAGGATCATGTGCATAGGTAACGACTGTGGACTGATTGAACCAATTTTAAATACGGTGTCCCTGCACCAGATCAAGAAGCATCGTTTGAACTTGTCTTTGTTGGAACATTTTTATAGAGAGTTTGGTTCAGCAAATTCTGAAGAATTTCTGATGGCACAAAGAAACTTTGTTGAGAGTTGTGCAGCTTATTGTTTAGTCTCTTATCTGGTCCAGGTTAAAGACAGGTAAGACTGATTTAATACAACTGCCTTTTACAGATTATTAACTTCCCGAAGGAGAAGTTTATGTTTTCATAAAAAAATCCGATTCGCTAATTTTATGTTTTCTCGACGTTTCAAGCCATTCTGAATCGAATGAGACCAAATTTGGAAAAAGTATGTGTGTGTGTGAACAGATTTTTTGCCGTAAATCGACGTTTTCTCGAAAACGGCTGGACCGATTTCAAAAATTTAAAAGCCACTCGATGTATCTCGATGAGGACTATTGTGGGACGATCGGCCGAGTCGTTTCTTTATAAATCGCAAAAAAGTGAAAAAAATTTCGTCTACGTTTTAGCCCGCAGTTCTGAATCGATTTTGAAAATTCAAAAACCGTTCGAAAGATATTATTTGGGAATCGTGCCGATTAGTTTTTGGTAGAGATCGGCCAGGCCGTTTTCTTGGGATAAAGTTTTTTTTAAAAAAAATTCGACGATTTTTGTGATTATTTTTTTGACGGTAGATACCATAGTCTTCTAGATCATACTAAAATATTACGGACCTACGACGACTCGTTTAACTTTAAAAATTCGTCAAAGTTTGCAAAAATCAGTATGGTCTTTTTGGTATTTGTCAAAATTAGAATTTTCATCAACGTTTGCTCAAAAACGCCTGAACCGATTTCAGATATTTAAAAGCCATTTGATGTATCTCAATGAGGACTATCGTTTGTCAGTTTTGTGAGACGATCTGCCGAGCCGTTTCTTTGTAATTTGAAAATAAGTGTTAAACTTTTCGTCCACATTTAAGCTCATACTACCGAAGCGATTTTAAAAAATCAAAAACAGTTCGAAAGATATTAGTTGGGAATGATACTGATTAGTTTTAGTTGAAAATCTATCGAGCCGTTTTCTTGTGATTAACTGTTGAAAAAAAAATTAAGCCAATTTTCATGGAACTTTATTTGGCGATATATTTTGTATTATAGAACTTACTGAAATATCACGGCCTTACGAAAAGTAGTTTAATTTTAAAAATTCATCAAAATTGAGAAAATGAGTAGTTTTTTTGACGTTTGTTAAAATTAAAATTAGACGATAGTGTTGAACATAGTAAACCATTAAAGTCCTACGGAAACTGGTTCAATTATAATTATTGATTAATTAAAATTATTGATTTTTGAACATTTGCTTTTTGAAAATACTCCGAGTTAACGTGTTCGTTCGTTTTCAATTATGTGTAATAAATACACTCATAAATTAATATATTTTTTATTGATTAAGTCGATTATTTACACATATCGGGAAGTTCATGTAACTTGCCTCAAGGCTAAATACCAAACCAACTAGTTAACAATTGTTTTTCCAGGCATAATGGCAATATACTCCTGGATTCAGAAGGCCACTTAATCCACATTGATTATGGATTCATATTATCCTTGTCTCCGAGAAATTTGGGATTTGAGATGTCACCGTTTAAGTTGACCCCAGAATTTGTGGAAGTGATGGGCGGCTGTGAATCTGATCTATTTCGATATTTTAAGGTTTTGATGTTGCAAGGTTTGATTGCTGCCAGAAAACACATGGATAAAATTACTGGTTTGGTGGAGATCATGCGAAGTGGTAAAGGATAATAATAATAATAAATGGCTGCCTGCTGCCAAGTTCTGTTAAAATGTTTTTTTATCTTTTTTCAGGTTCACAACTCCCCTGTTTCAAATCAGGTGCAGGAAATACTGTACACGATCTCAAAAATCGTTTCCATTTGTCTCTGACAGAGGATCAACTTTGTGAATTGGTGGAGCATCTTGTCGAGTCCAGCATGCACTCAATATCGACTAAGTTGTATGATAGTTTTCAGTATCTCACTAATGGAATTCAGTAAAGCCAACTTGTATAAATAATAGATATATAAATAGATTTATAATGATGATAGATAGATTTTTGTATATTGTTCATAAAAATTATATTATAGTTAAGCATACATGAAATGTTTATAAGATTTTTTATTCCAATATATATATATATATATATATATATATATATATATATATATATATATAATTTATTATTGGTAATTTACATCAATGCAATAATATAGATATATGTATATAATAAAATTATATATACATATATATATAAATAAATCTACATATATTGATATATATATATACATATATATATATATATATATATAAATTTTACAAATTTCTTCTTAATTTATAATATGATAAAAAAAGACCTGTCCCTAGGGAATAAGTTATCTCAATGCTATTATTAAAATAAAGTCATAACTTTAAGAATAAATTCCTAAAAAATAATACTCAAAAAAAACTTCTAACTATTCTATCATATTAAATATGTTTAAATTAAGAATTTATATGCCTTTTTGTCTATAAATATAAATATAACTATATAAATATTAGAGAAAGAGAGTCATCATTGCAATAGATAAAATTTAGCTTATTTTATATAAATAAATATTATATTATATTATATTTAGTATTGTTATAAGGACTTAGTGAAAGGATGCGATAAGTTCTTCTGCTGAAGTCTTAAAGTTCAATCATCAAATAAATAAATTATATACTGATTTGACTAATGTTAGTTCTGGTGTAGCATGAAAGATTCCTTTTAATATTGCAATTCTTCTGGTGTTGTCTCAAAGTCAAGAATTCATTTAATTACTGGTTTCCGGTGTATCACTAAAAATCCCTTTCGATTTATAATTTGTATTGCAAATTTTGATTTCTGATAAAAGGTTGTGGCTTTTCGAAGTGTATATGATGTGTGAGATTTGTTTCTCAAAAGTGTCTTATTTTTATCATGTAGCTCCTACTCTATTAAAGCCAAATTATATTATTAACCGTTTCATAGAAATTGTAGTAAAATTAATATTTATCAAGTTTATATGTATATATATATATATATATATGTATACATATATACATAAAAAAAGATGTACATATAAAATATATAATAATAGATAAGTATTTGCATTTGCTAATCTAATACTAAATAATGTTTATTGAAACTTTTGACTGTATAATATAAATTGAAAATCATATTTCATGTAATGGGTTTTTGTATATATAATTGCTGACTTCTGAAATATACAAATGACTTTTTATTTCACCATGACTCGTAGTTTATAAGCTCTCTTTATAGAACTTTTGTTGCCGTCATTAAAATGTATCATGGTCATTATTCTACAAAAAATGGCCTCAATTTGGTAAGATTTGATTCGTCGGAGCGGCAGGATTCATGTCTTCGACCAATCAGATCGTTCCAAATTGCGGCCATTTCTGAGACGCTCTTGGCGACAGGATTCATGGCTTCGACCAATGAAATCGATCCAAATTCCGGCCATTTTGGGGACGCTCTAGACGGCAGGATTCATGGCTTCGACCAATCAGATCGTTTCAAATTGCGACCATTTTGGAGACGTTCTAGGCGGCATTATTCATGTCTTTGACCAATCAGATCTTTTCAAATTGCGGCCATTTTTGGTACTACCGCGGAAATTGAAAATTATCACTTATTCTGTTTTATTATAACTGCGTATAAATTCGATTGATATGTGACTGTAAATACGGTCCTGATAAATAGAATCTTCAAAAGAAAATATTTTATATACTGAAAATTCTCCCCAACGTAAGAGTTCGAAAAATTAAAATTAAACTTTAAAAATAAATCTATGAGCTCTCGGATTTTTAAATTAATTCGTATTTTCTTCTAGCTGAAATTTTTGAAGTGAAACTTCTAATGCGTCTTCCAACGAATTTTACAGGAAAATAGAAAGAATAAATATTGATCTGAAAATGTTGTAAATCGTCTCAGAATGTTTTGGATGTCTGAAAATGTTGTGATATGCCCTAAAATGTTGTAAACTGTCTCAAAATGTGGCTGATTGTCTGAAAATTTCATAAATTGTTTGAAAATTCTGTGTATTGTTTGAAAGTGTTGTAAATTGTCTGCAAATGCTGTAAACTATCTGAAATTGTTGTAAATTATCACAAATGTTGTAAATTATTTGAAAATATTGTTGATCATTTGAATTTGTAATAAAATGTCTGGAAATGCTGTAGATTGTCTAAAACTGTTGTAAATTATCTGAAAATACTGTAGACAGTGCTGGATTACCCCATAGGCCCGTGAGGCCCGGGCCTAGGGCGGCACAATTTGGGGGGCGGCAAATTTTTCCGATTTTTTTTTTGTCACGGCAATTTATTTTAAGGATTGATCTTGATCTAGATAATTCTCTTCTATATATAAAAACGCACAAATTAATAAGACGCAAATACAAGCAAAAACGTATTTAATACAAATAATACTTCACAATCAAATCAAATATATGAATCAAACAAAACTAGATGCAAATATTAGCAGTAATAATTTCGACCATCTCGCCACGAAGGTTGAATTATGACTGATTGTGAGGTACAATAAAATTTCTGTATTGCACCCTCTATGGTTCCGAACCCGAAACTATTCAATTAGATAACAATTTTTGAATTTTTGAATTTCAGTATCATCTGGTAACAATACATAGTTTTGTCCCTTTCTGACCCTAATATAAAAGATGCGGAATTTCCAACTAAAATCATTCTGTATTTGGAGCTCTCGGTGGACACTACTCGGTGGTCAGTGGTAAGCCTTTTAAAAAATATTTATGTATTATGTAATCATTTCGTGCATTCAGTTTCAAATACGTGTCATGGGACTTGTGTTTTGGTTGATTCGATGTGACTTGATTTTCTGTTGAATTATAATTATAAGAATGTAAATAAATTGAAGTAAAAATTCGTTTCTTTAATATTAAACCATTTGCGTTACATTTTCTAATTCAATATATTTGTGCTGAAGTGTCGCCTTAGTGTTTATTGTTGTGAAAATATTTAATTTTAGCCTTTGAGTTAACATAAATAATTTAATGCAATCTTTAGATTATTAAATTTAACTATAATTAAATAATATTAAATTTTAATATAAATGTTATGTTTCAGATATTTACGATTGACTACATTTGTTTTGTTTCAGATTTCATACAGTGTTTTGCGCAGTGGCGGATTGCTTTAGGGATTTATTGTGCATGAATTTTTTTTTATTCAATCACATTTACAATTTTTAATTATTTTTTATAATTTTGAGTTATTTGCGTCCACATTTAAATTTTTTTTGTTCGTGCGAGGACTTATTCGTAATTTTAATATCGTTTGAAACGATATCCGCGTTTAAATGTGTTCCTGTCGCCTACCCCCCACGGCAGGTTCTAGTAATTCGCGTTTCGTTAATAAATTAATTTTTTTCAATCGGTGTGTGGATCCTTGCGATGTTTTTCCCAGAAGCAACGCAACCCCATACACTTTAATTTCTAATTAGTATTATATGTACAATGCTTAATTTTTTAGAATTATTTTATTAGTAGCATGGATGTAAATAACTAGTTAAAAAATCTAAAAACTTTGTTAAATAAATTACTTGTTTTTATTTTGACTGATTTTTCTGCTCCAATGCAATGAATATGTTTTAATTAAATAATTTAAATTTTTTGTGATTGCACAATAAGTCTCCTAAACGGAGAAATGTTGAAGACGTATTGTTTGAAGTTAAAAAAAAAAAGGTAAGATGATACAAAACCCTAAATTATGTAAAAAATAACAAAATTGACATTTATTTTAGCGTAAATGGGCCTCGACTAAATATACCACGAGGTTGAATACTACAACAACGAACAGGAGAACATGTGTACCTATATGATGTACCAGAGCCCTGGAATAAATACGAGTAGGCTACGACATAGTATTTATAAGTCATTGTCTATTTAATTTCTTTCAAGTCACTTTTTATTTCAGGGTTGCAGAATTAATTTCTCAGCGCGACGGCAAGCACCAGGACTGCTAGGAGATTGTGGTGGATTAAAAAGGTTGAAGGTACCCTTTTTGGGGTGCAATGACTGCTACTTGGTACATCTTAGCATTGCGTTTACCAATATACAGGGTTTACCTTGGAGCCCCAATCTGACTTTTAATAAAAACCGGTAATTATCTGTAGAGTGCGTAACTAACTACACGAATGAAACAGAATCTATACTTATTAACTTATTCAATGTTACCTAGTTGTGTTCGTCGTAGGTGCGAAGATATGACCGTATTTTGTAGTCATGTCTTAAGTCTAAATTCTGATATACTATTGTTTTGGTTGATCAAAAAGCTTGAAATTATAGATGTGTATGATACGGCGTGATGACAAAGGGGATCGCATACAATCGGAGAACCGTCACTTTTTCTGGATTGTGTGTTCTTCGCCCATGGAACAACACACGCACCACTATGCACTAATTGTGCACTTTCGACTCGATTGACTACCTCTGAGGACTGATACTTAAAAAGTGATTGCGTCTTTGTAACGACAGCATGCAATGTTTCCAAAGTGTTGCACAACCTTTAGTGCAAACTACATCCGCCGCCGCCCGCCTATATGGTTCCTGTCGTATGTGGTCCAGATTCGCGATAAAGACTACATACATCATTTCCAAGGAGTTTTTAAACTCCTAAACTGAATCCCCACCTGCCTATAAGGCTCCTATCGTATGAGGTCCGGAGTCGCGATCGTTTTTCAGTATCAGTCATCTCAGGTGGTCAATCCAATACGGAGGACACAAGTTAGTGCATTAGTGATGGTTGTGATGTTGTGCCAGGCAAAAAGAACACGATCTAGAAAAATCCGATCGAGTTTTCCGATTTTAAGCATTCCCCTGCGTAATTACGCCGTTCTATACATTTTTAATCATTTCTAGCTTTATCATTAGCCCATCGTTAGTACATTCGAATTTAGGCTTAATGCATCACTATACATAAGTGCGGTCAAGCTCTCGGATCTGTAAACATAACTCGGTAACAATCAATAAGTTGGTAAGTAGATTCTGCTTTAATTGTGTAGTTAGTTAAAATCTCCACTGGTAACTGCAGGTTTTGTTGAGTCGAATTACGGCGCTAAGGTAAACCCTTCATATTGGGGAGTGAGATGCTAAACATACCAAATAGCAATCTTTACACTCTAACAAGAGTACCCTTAACCCTTTCAGTTCACCTCAATATGGATACCTTCAGGTTTTCTCGTATTCATAAGTTAATATTAAGTAGTTAGACCTTGATTAGATATAAGTATATTATATTTTTATTTTCGTTACCGGGGCCCCGTTTGTATGTTAGCCCCTATTGTTAGGGGCACTTGTGTTTTTTTTATGTCATTTCAGATGTCTTTCCAAGAAAATTGCTTACCAAATAAGTACCAAGAACTACTTCCACAACCCATAGGAGAAATTGATCAGACTGATTGATGTATCAAGATACTAAAATTATTGGCATGCTGCTAACTTTCATTTCAGATGTCTTTCAAACCAAGAGACCACTACCGATTTAAAGGATATGTGCAAGTGGGTACCAACAATTACTTCTGCAACCCATACGAATAAATGTAATGAAATTCTATGTTTACCTCTTTTTAGGTCTTGCACGAGATTTGGCAGAAAATATCATCAACTCGAAACCAACTAGGCACCACTACTACCTGAACTACCGCCTACAACTGAATCGGATGATATGACATAATCGAAAGGAAAATTAACTGTGAGTTAAGACTTTCTATTATCATAGTAGTATTTAGTTAATATCAGTAGGTTAGGGGACGTTTCGACATTAAAATCTTCGGCCGTACTTTTTTTGGGGTTGTTCGCGTACTTTTATTCAGAGCTCAAAAGGGTGGCGTCATGAAAGAACCTCTCTTATATTTTTCGCGCTCTTCTTTACATTAATTAATTAATTATCATTTGTCCTTAAACTTCATAGGCTGGGAACCTATGAAGTTTTTTTTCAAGTGTTTACATGGTGGATCTGGGGGGTACATCATGTAAATGCTTTTTTTTTATAAATTTACAATCACCGCTAAAATACTAAAGTTACACATTTTATATTGATTTTTTTCTTTACCACGAGAGGTTCTTTCATTTTTAAAAACCGAAATTTTTGGGTACATTAGGTCATTTCGCGGGGGTTCTTCTATTCGCGATATATTCGGGTCAGTTAGGCATAATTAGTTTGTAAGTTAGTTTAAGTGGATTAGGGCTGCACAAATCGATACTTAGTAGTATTTACACTATATCCATTTCCATCTGAAATGTTAGAAACGTAAATATGAATAGAAGTATCTATTTCTGTGGCGACACCACATTAAAAAAAACGCGCCTGGCAACTCTACCCCATGGGTGGTGAGGAAAAGAGTTGCATCCTAATTAAGTACATATAATTATCAAAAATAAACTATTTGAATAATTATGTTAATTAATAAACATAAATGTGTCAATATATGTGTCAAAATATCTTAAAATAAAATTTTTGCAAAATAATCTTTGCTTTTTAATATATGGTTAATGTTATTTTTAAATTTTTTTCCAGAACTTCATAAAAAATTATTAGATACCTTCAGAAAGAATATTGTCAATAATTATTAGTTGATAAAATATAGTTATATTATAGTTAATTTTGAATTAGTTGAAAAAATACTATAAATACTATAGTATTTATAGTATTTTTTCAACTAATTCAAAATTAACTATAATATAACTATATTTTATCAACTAATAATTATTATACAAATGTATACAAATACTACAATGCGAAGAGTTATATGGTTTTTGATAAAATATATTTTATCTCTTTGCATTGTAGCATTTTTTCAACCTCTAATTCAAAATCAATTACTATTATTCTTTTTAAAAGCATTAAATAATTCTTCAGAATATGTGAGATTTAAAACTTTAGTCAGAATTAAATATAAAATTTGAATTATTTTCGATATAAACAAAAAGAATTTTTTGAAAAAAATTTGAAACAAATTTTTTTTTCAAAATTATTTTGTTGAAATAAGTAGAAAGTTCTTTGAATCATTCAAATCGGACGCTTAGTTCTCTCAAAAACTGCCATTTTTTGCACATTTAGCTGGGTGTCTCCGTAACGGCTAGACCTGCCTTTGCCAGAACCTAATTACCACTTCTCCCCATCATTACAAATTGAATGTTTTTTAGATCATTCAAATTGGATGCTCCGTTCTCTCAAAAACTCAATTTCTATTTTCTGCACTTTTTGCTCCGTAACTCCGAAATTACTATTTAAAATTACTACAACTTACCCAACGCAAAGTTAAAAATTATATCTAAATAATTCAAAATAAATTGTTTATTTAAAAAAGTAAAATTTTGTCTATTAAAAAGGGCGCCAGAACGGATAGGGCCTAGGGCGGCAGAAAGCTTAATCCGCCACTGACTGTAGGTAGTCTGAAAATGTTGTATACTGTTTGGCAGTGTTGCAAATTGTCTGAAAATGTTTGTTATAGTCAAAAATTGTCTGAAATAGTTGTATTTTGTCTGAAAATGATGTAAATAGTCTGTTCATCTTAAGAAAACAACTCGAATGCACTAAGAATCAATTTCTCCATTACAAAGTTTCAATTTTCAAGGTTGAAGAAGGGATTCCACTCACTATTTGTTATTTTCCAATGGCACTTATTGAATAAAACAGTAAAATATAGCGTTTTGATGATTTATTTCATCGCTACATCACAAACATATCATGTTTTAATGAGTTATAATACTTATTAGAGCAGAATTCAGTATCTTATTTCATCATACTATGTAACAACAATATTTATGTAAACTTAAAGCAAAAAAATATGCCTTTAACTTCAATCACAACAGAATTTTATTTTCACTCTTTACCCTGATAAAACTTTACTTAAAAAGTTTCATTAATGTGATGATCACAAATTAAACAATGCTATTTCTACTGAAACTAAACTAATAAAATCCATTTCACAATAATGCACAAACACATAGTTTTATTATTATTTATCGTTGAAATAATTTATTTTCCATTTCACACACTCGTCTCTTGGCTATATCCGTGATAGCTGTTGCAGCAGGTTGCTCGGCAAGACCATTTCCAATTTGTCCAGGAGAAATCCAAATGGCAAAGACAAAACCAACCGAGTACAGACTTTGCAAACATACCCATCGATTCAGGATATTGATGTGTGAGAAGGGCCAATAATGCTGTGAAGGAGCACAGACCGGCTGTGAACATGATGAAGAAAGGTAACTCCTTTTTGGGGTACACTGACACCTCATGAAAAGCCTGTAATAGAAATGACATAAGAAGCAGCAGTGTTTAAATGTCTGATTTGTTTGTATTTATTTATTACAGGTAGGAGTTCCCGGTCTGCACATTCTGTGCATGCTGGATACGGGTAGAACAAGTGGCCCCGTTCTAGAGGATATGGTAGAGCCCTGAAAGCACCTTCCCATGTGCAGTGAAGTAACCTGAGAGCACCCTCGCTCGCTTTCCAATGTGCTAAGTGTGAAAAGGCGTATGCTAGAGCTTCTGAATCACCACGTTTCAAAATGTGCTCAGGAGGTAATATCAACGGTTTCATTTCTGATGAAGGAATAAATAGATATAGACAAGAATATATATTTATAGTAATATATAAAATACCTAATAAATACTTGGGCACATGGGGGTTTAAACTCAACAGCCCTGTGTATGGCTTCAACAGCTGACATCTCTGCCGTTGTCAGGCCCCTTTTACTTGCTACATCAGGTGAAAATTTATCTGCAACCTGAAAAATAATTGTTGCCATCATTTCATTCCCTGCAACTTTTAGTTATCCTTTATTACCTGTCTGGCTTTTAATAATGCTGCCGTGTAGCAAATTGTGGCAGACTTTGGTAAACTGATATCATCAAATTTTGCCAAGACCGCTTGTGCGTCTGCATAGGCCTGCATTTCTAAGAGCACCTCTATTAAATTCTCATGTATGTTGAGCACGTTCATTATTGGAGGCACTTCTTTGGTGAGGTCTCTGAACATTTTAACGGCCTCCTTTAGTTTTCCCA